TTGTGTTTCTTTTGAATACTTCAGCAAAAAATGAAATTATACTGATGATAAATAACTAAGACACATGAATAATGCTAAAATAGTGAACCGCGAAAATAGCCTTAACAGGCGAGACAAATGTTTTACAAAAAAATCTCAATTAGCGTGGTATTTGGAAAGATTATTTAATAATATAAATAGAACTTTTATAAACAACATTTGCTTTGTTTCCATAAGATGAAGTCGATTCTGTATTTAAAATGTATATTTCAACAACCAAAATGATTTTTGTTCATTTTTGTCACCTTGATAGTCCAATTAAATAACGAAAAAAAGCCCCTTCGAGCTTACATTAATTTGTAATTGGATGAAACAAAGTGGACCTTGTGTATTTTGATGTGATCTTTCCGAAAAAAATGATGTAACTGTTTTTCAATTTTTTTTTAAATTAGGAAAAACCGGGTTTTCCGAAATTTTCCACGGTAAAAATGCTAATTATCTGGGCAAGTATCATTCTGATAGTAAAAATCTGATGTGTCCAACACATGACTTTCCTATCTAGTTATTATAGGCATTTTCCGGTTATTTTGTACAACCTATTGCAGCATCTCTATAAATGTTTAGAGGATAAACTAAATATATACATTTTACACATACATCTACCTCGAAACATTTTTTTATAGATATTCATTGAAAACGAAAATACAGAAAAATTTAAATTTAGCACTTTTCCATTACGGTCCATTTTAGAAAAATCATGTATAAACAAAAATTATAGAGATCGATATCGCAAACAACTTTTAGTTCAACAATTTTCATAAAAATCAGAATTTTGCACATTTTGTCAAATTTCTCGATTAAGGACCATTTCAGGAAATTTTGACATAAAACAAAAATTATAGATAATAATATTAGAAGTAACTTTTATTTGAACAATTTTCTTCTCCAAACATAAATAACAGATATATTCCATAAAATATAAAAACGGCCTCCCATAAAGTACCCCCCCAGATGTTCCGACTTTGTCCAAAATCTAATCATTTCACGTCAGGCCGAAATAAACCTTAAGTTTAAAATTTAATGTTTTTTCCTTTATCCGTTTTTGAGTTTTCTTCAAATTTCGAAATTTACACATTTTCTCAAATATCTCGAATACGGTCCATTTTAGAGAAATTATGTATAGGACAAAAATTATAGAGAATTAAATTATAAACAACTTTTATTTGAACAATTTTTATAAAAAATTATGTTTTTTACATTTTGTCAAATTTCTCGAATACGGACCATTTTAGGAAAATTTTGCATAAAACAAAAATTATAGATAATTATATAAGAAGTAACTTTTATTTGAAGAATTTTCTTCTCCAAACGTAAATAACAGATATATTCCATAAAATATAAAAATGACCACCTATAAAGTACCCCCCCAGATGTTCCGACACTGCCCAAAATCTAATCAGCTCATTGGACGCTGAAACAAAGCTTAAGTTTAAAATTTGGTGTTTTTCTGTGTATCGGTTCATGAGTTATGCGTTATACAGACACACACACAGACACACAGACACACAGACAGACACACACACACACACAGACATCATCGCGAAAATAGTCAAAACGGATTCAGGGGACCTCAAAACGTAAAAATCCGTCGAAAACTCGAGGTCGAAAAAAATCATGATTCCTATACTTTCCTTATATCTGTATACAGATAGGAAAGTAAAAATAAATGCACCAATCGAAAAAGGAGGCAAAAATAATTCGGAATTTCATTGCACAGGTAGTTTTAATGGCGAATTTCTCGCCGCCAGAAGTGCTTTTACCAAAAAGTTGTTTCTTTGTTTCTTTGATCAGAATCATGAACATGAAATTTGCGATGAATTTGTGGCGAAATTATAAATGTTAGACATATGTGCTCATGAGAGAAGTTGCGTATTTTTTTGTGGGCTCTCAAATAAAATAAGTCCCGCGGCGAAATCTGCCATAATTTTTCGGGAATTTGCAGGGAACCGGAAGGCGTAAATTTTTTTAAATTTTTTTCCCATATGATTTTCTCCGGGTTTTCCGAAAACATCTAACAAAAAATATATTTGAAGAAACTAACTGCGCCATCGGAAAGAGCACAAAAAAATATACAAAAAGGTATACTTTAAAAATGTTAGGAAATTAATCTTAAGCTTGAGTGTAAGTTCCAACTTGGTGATAAGCTTGTTTTTTGTTCTCTTACATCTGGTTTTCTTCACGGTTGATGCTCCATCCTCCTTTTTTTTGGCATTGTCAATCGCGGCCCTTTTATGCCTATCTCAGATTTTATAAATAAACTCTTTTCCGTAACGTCGAGCTACGTAATGTTTGCGACACCTCTCATGCAATATAAAACCTGGTTCTAAAGAACTGAAAAAATCATCTCCTCTCTCTTTGCTGACCATCTGCAGACCTTTCAATCCTGTCGGTCTAATTGGGGTAAGTTCACCCTCTGCAAGTTTCTGATGACATAATAAACACAGGCCAGCCATTGCAACCTGGAAACAAAAAAATTATAGCACTGTGATAGAATTTTCTTAATTTAAGAACGTACTTACTCAATAAATTGCTGAAGAAGTCCGAAAAACCACGTGTACACAGAGCTTGCTGAACACGGTTATTAAATATCTATGCCAATGAACACTATCAAGCGATTCAATTTGTAATAATATGACCGTTTCAAGTTTAAACTTGTCGGATAGCGAACGCCGAGACCATGGCTATCCTTGATACGACGTCCGGCTAATTTTTCGGTAATTCTATTTTTTGCACAAAACTCAAGAAACGTCTTATAACAAGTCAGTAAAATACAATTTTATAAATTTTAGGCCTAATAATTTTAGGTATGTAAGAAATTTAAAACTGGAAATCACAAAAAAATCAAATTACAGAAATGGATCCCGCGGAGCGCGTGTAATGGGACTTTTGTCGGGAGAATTCTACAACTTAGAAGAAACACTTTAAACTTTATATACACATTCAGAAGACATGAGATTTGGGTTTGCTCAATTTTCAGACCAAAAAACTGAAAATCGTCAATTTTAGGCAACTTTTCTCAAAAACCGTGTTTTTTGGTCGTCACTTAATTGACCTTTTCATCACAATTTTTTTTGTGCGCATGCGTCAGTTTCAGCCATGTTTTTCGTACTGTTTTTGTAAACAAGTATGTTAAAATGCTTACGTGAAAAAAATTATAATTGATAAATATTAATTTAAGTCTATATTCATTTAAAAAAAGGAAGAAAAAAGTAAAGTAATAATAAGTTTAGTGTCTTAATTGAAAAATACATTTTCACAATCAATTATAATTATGTTATCTGTACGGAAAGGAACAACGAAACAGTGTTGTTATGTAAAAGTGACACACGGTATAAATCATTCAAAGGCAATAGATATTATTTTATAAATTTTCCAAAGCCTTAACTGCAATATCGTAAACAATTATCAGGCAAAATCCATATTAAAAGATATTTGAAATGTGCATTAAGTGTGAAAAAATATGGTCGAAGTGACAACGGTTTTCGATGGATTAATGATGTTACTAAAGATACTTATATTTCACTGCATTTTCATGGAGAAAGTGGTCCAACAGAAGAAAATTCTCACCTGGTATTAAACAATATTTTTTTAATATTAAATACTACTTCGGTATACACATTAAATGATTAAAAATGTCACATTGATCCTCAAAATAATAAATAATTTATTTTATTAATTATACTCGTGATTAACTTTCATGCTAATTAAAGTGTTTTTGCAAGTAGTAATAGTCGGTTGGCATAATTAATTAGAATAAAGTTATAATTATTATTTGTTTTCATTAATTTTTTACAGAGTTAAAAAGTATTGATACACCTAACCTCTCAATTAGACCACTTTGTTCCTTTGTAACAAACATCCAAGACACTTCAACCTCCTTTTCAACTGCTCACAACTATGCGCTTCCACAGAGTTATAAAAAAATTATTCACTATCAACGATTTTTTCTAATGATTAATTTTTCTGTAGAGATAACATTGCTTTCCCAGCCATTGTCGATCAAAACAGTACGAAACTTTTGAATTACCGCTATTTCAACATGGTGGCTGCGCTTGCGCTCATCACATGATGAAAAGGTCTATGAACAGTGGTCAAAAAAATAGATAAAATATTTTTGCAGAATTTTCCGTAATGTAATCGTATTTTAGACATAATAGAGTATTCAAAAAAAAAGTTTTGAGTCATTGGGTGCATTTTTGGCATTTTTGTTAAATTGTTTGATATCTTGGCCAATTATAATCCGATTTCAGTAAAATTCACACACGTATAAGATTTCATATTTAAAAGTAAGCTCTGTAAGTGGCATTAAAAAAATTTAAATAGTTTGGCCGTTATAGGCAAACAATGAAATTAGGCTTGCGGTACACTTTGCCCTTCCGCCATATGTCCAATTTTGGGATTTCTCTTGCCCCCTTCTGGTAATCAATAGTCACATCCCTTAAGTTCAAAATGAATTTTTGTTTCTTCAAATATCTTAATTTTTACCAAAGTTATGAAGAATTTAGTGTTTGAACATTTAACAAATTCAATTTTTCGACCTTCGCCGCCTCAAAATACTAAACAAATTTCAATCGTCCATACCGCGAGAACGGTGCATCGGATCAAAATTTCTCAAGAGACATAAAAATTAGCATTTTTTCTAAGATTTCAAATGTCGTAAACTGCGTTTTAAAAATATTGATTTATTTGCGACATGCGCATGCGCAAAATTGAAAAATTGACAAAATCCAAAATTTCGGCACTTTCGAAAAACTGCTACATTTTGCTTTGCCTTTTTTCGAAAAGATCACCTCAAAATACGTAGAATCCATTTTGTTTCATCTAATTACAATTTAATGTAAGCTCAAAACCGGTAATTTAATTCGATTATGACAAATTTTACATTGACGTTTCGCATAAATCATTGATACGGCAAATTAAAACAGAAGTGTACCTATTCGTTTTAATAAATATTTTATTAATCACACATCTAAAACTTTAAAATTAAACATATCTATTTAAATAATAATACATTCATTAAAATTAATACTGAAAGTTTTATCACTCCATTTTTATCGATGTTTTTTGGTCCACTGTTACTAGGTTTTATTAACGAGCTATCTCTACTAAAATCTCTTCCAAATATACCGAACGTTAATAATCTATTTTGAGAATTATTTAATACATGTTTTCGTGTGATGTATTTGCCTTCTTCTTTCTTCTCCCATGAAGTGAACTTTGGCAATATTGGTCTAAACGAGCTTAATACTGAGTTAGGATATTGAGCGCGATTTTCGTCTTTTAGAAATTTGGCTTCGACTATGATTTTTTCGAACGTTATTGGCCAATATATTTCAGAATAATTTCGGAATCTGGAAAAAACATACATTCATATATGATACTGGTATTAAAGTCTTATATTCTACAAACAAAATAAATACGCAAAGAGCGAAAAATGATACTTTGCCGCTTGAGACAAAAAGTTGCTGCGTGACGCGTAGCAATTTGTTGAAAGCGGCAACGAACTTTTCGATCAAAATGCACACAAGAGTTTTCTACGATTACATTATTTTAAGAAATATATATAAAAACTGAAAATTTATTATAAGTAATGTATAATGTGTTACCTATATCTACGTTATTCATGAAGAAAGGAGTTGATATTTAAAGTCAATGTAACTTGAATAATAAAAGAATGTACCTACATCAAATTAGGTACAAATAACTTTAAAAATCATTTAGTAAAAAGAAATATATTATGTCTAATTTAAATTAGGCGAGCGACAAAGCTGTCAAATTATACGCTCGGCGATCGTCAAAACTGTCACTTAATGTCAGTTCGCGGAAAACGTCAACTTTGCGGTTGAATTTCGAAGCGCAAAAGCCTACTTTGGATAGTAATCGTAGAAAAATCATATACACCACATAAACTATTTTTTCTACACCCACATGGATATAAGCTTATCTATACACAAATTACAAAACGAAAAAGTATGCTATTGCCTTCAACTGAACGAATATATTTCATATCCATTCCAGGTAGTGAAAAAACTGTAAAAATAGTAGTTTGTGCAACTATGATGGCCATATCGCACGAAGACGAAAATTGAGCACGACGCCGTAGTGCTCAATCGTCTGAGTGCGATGTGGACAATCCACTCGAGTTGTACAGAATATTTTTTCTACGACCCACTCACGAAAATTTACAAATAAAAAAATATTTTAGATTATTAAGACAAACTAACTAATTTTAAAACAATTTATGACTTAATAATCTTTAAAATAAAATAAACAAAAACAAATGAAAAACGTTCCTTTCATTTTTCCCCATCCGAGAATCAAACACTCGATTATTTCCTGTGGAAGGCAAGAACGGTAACCACAGGACCATCTATTCTTTTAATTTTTTTTTGCTTTAATACTCGTAATTAAATTGACTTCATATTGTTTTATTTAAATTAACAAATTATTTATAATTGTAGACGAAATAAAAACAGAAATATTATTCATCGATTCTACACAAGAATAACCCATTTTAATATATGTTTAATCTCAATAACTAAAAAATATACTGACAATTTATTTGACAGAATTGTTACTTGTTTAAAATTAAAAAAAATAGCAGTCGGTTGATCAAAATATAAACGGTGATTGGTGGATTTCAATTTTTGCAGTGTTCTCAATACCTAGAATGGATATGAAATATATTCGTTGAGTTGAAGGTAATAGCATATTTTTTTGCGTAGATAATCTAATGTCCATGTGGGCGTAGAAAAAAATTATTATTATTATTATTATTATTATTATTATTTTATTATTATTATTATTATTATTATTATTATTTTTAAAATTTTAAATAAGTGACAATGCTGTCAAACTAATTGCCAGTATATTTTTTAGTTATTGAGATTAAATATGCATTAAAATGAGTTATTCTTGTGTAGGATCGATAAATAATAGAATTTCTATTTTTATTTCCTCTATTCGCTCCGTGCGCGACAGCAGCGCCAATTCGTTTTGGTACTAATGGACTATTTCTGCGTATACTGACAAATACAATTTTTAATAGAATTCGTAATTAAAAAGTATATATGTTAATTTTAATAAAAGTATATGGATTTGTAAAACAAGTAAAACATTATTATTATATATTTTTATCGCTTATTAAAGAAAATTATGTATAATTAGTGATGCCGCGAGACGAGATGAGACGAGAGAGAGGCCTCTCTCGTCTCGTCTAGTCTCGTAGGGCGAGAGAAAACTGTTCTCTCGTCTCGACGAGAAGGCGCTTCTCTCGCTCGAGAAAGTCATTCTCTCGTCTCGTCTTGTCTCGTCTCGTTTCTCTCGTGATAAAAACATATCAAATTTAAATTTGGAAAAGATATACTTAGAATGAAACATGAGAAAACTGTAAAATTTTGAAGACAATAACAAATAATTTTTCAAGTAATTTGTCTCATCAGTACCCAAATTGGCAATAAGAAACACTTAGGGAAATTATCTTGGTATCTCTTTGCCTGTCCGTCTGTCACAATCGTTTTACTTAGACACTATTTGACATAAACAATTGAAATTGGACGTTAACTAAGAATGTATAGCAGAGGCCGAAGTTGGAAAGGCTTTTAGTAGGTAAAGAGGGGGTAAACGTATAACCACGTCGGACAACTTCGAGAATTTTGCAGTAATGTTTTATAGTTAACTTTTTGACTATCTGGAAATATAATATTTTTAAATATTAAGTTACGATGAGTAATTGAAAATTTTAAAGAAGTAAAAAGTTAATTGCGCGAGAGAACTCGAGAGAGCTCGAGAGAAACGAGAAATTCTCGTCGAGAAAAGACACTCTCGTCTCGTCTCGAATCTTTTTTCGAGAGAAAATGACTCTCTCGTTTCGTACGAGACGAGACAAGACGAGACGAGAGACGAGAGTCTCTCGTCTCGCGGCATCACTATGTATAATCAATAAAAATCAATAATAAAATATAGGCAGACAACATTATTTACTGGAAAATGTATGAGAAGTTGCCTAAGTCTAATAAGTTGTCATTGAAGAATTAGCCTATTCTGTCAAAATAAAAAATACCATTTAATTCTGATGCCTTGGTAGGATTCCCCACTCGACCATTCACTGTTGGGTACTAATTAACAATGATGTTCCTAAAGTGGCGTTGGAAAACAGTAACAAAGCCTACATAGAACACGAGGCTAATAACCGTAGCAGTTGATGCCGATGACACAAAAAAATAATAGCGTGAAGTTAAAATTTATAAAAAAAGGATCGTTATTCATATTTTCATTTTTGTTCGAAAGAAAACAGAATAAATGATAAAAACTGGTTTCCCATCAGTAAGTCACAAAATTGCATTCCAGCCACATAAATAATCAAAGGCAGAAATCTTGAAATCTAGTCCTTGCTGAATGAACATTTAAGAATAAAGGGATATTAGAGAACATCGTAAAATGATAATTTATTGTTTATTTAAAACCTTTCAAGTTTCTGATGTCTACTATTTCCAGCATTACTGTTATTATTACAAAAATAAAGGTAATTTTTCTTCTTATTGTACACCTATCCATTTATTTCTTTGATTTCATTTCCACTTTGCTACTGAAATTTTTTATATAAGTTTCACTGTTTTTTTTGCTAGTATTTGAACAATTTTTAACACAGCAACTCCGGTTGCTTATTGTATTGTTTTCACCTACTTTTCAAAAAAAAAGTAAAATGTATACGTGTATTTGACATGCCAAAATTACAAAATATCGCCCTAAAATGCACGAATTATCCGCAGCTAGCGCTAGTATCGCTTTTGCTCCTCTTTCCATGACTTCGCACGGAGCGAATAAGTATAAATAATTTATTAATTTAAATAAAACTATATAAAGTCAATTTAAATACGAGTATTAAAGCAATGTGGTCAGAGTTCTTGCCTTTCGTACAGAAGACTCGAATTCAAATCTTAGATGGAGAAATATAAAATGAATTTTTTTTTCCTTGTTTATTTTATTTTATAAATTAGTAAAATTCATAATTTTTTTAAATTATTTTATCTTAATACCCTAAAATAATTTTTAATATTTGTAGATTTTCGGTAGTGGGTCATAGAAACAATATACTGTACAACTCGAGTGGATTGTCCATATCCACTCTTGTTGCATAAACTACTATTTTCTACACCCACATGGATATTTGCTTATCTACGTACCTACAGACTACAAAACGAAAAAGTATGTCATTGCGTTCAACTGAACGAATATATTTCATATCCATTCTAGGTAGTGAGAATAGTGCAAATAAATGAAATCCACTAATCACAGTTCATATTTTGGACACCCTACTACTATTATTTTTAAAATTTTAAATAAGTGACAATTCTGTCAAACTAATAGTCAGTATATTTTATAATTATTAATAATAAATATAGATTAGAACCATAGACAAAGTAGTTGACTTCCAAGCGAAAAACCGGGGATCGATTCTCGGGTGGCAACATTTTTTTATATATATTTATTTTATTTTAAAATCAGTAAAATTAATAAATTATTTTAAAATTAGATATTTTGTCTTAATAACCTAAAATATTTTATAATTTGTAGATTTCCGTTGGTGGGTCGTAGAAAAAATAAACTGTACAACTTGAATGGATTGTCCATATCGCACTCAGACTCTTGAGCACTTCGCCTACGGCGTCGTGCTCAAATTTCATCTTCGTGCGTTATGGCCATCATATCCACTCTTGTTGCACAAACTACTATTATTAAATTGAAACGGCGATATTCTACAGTTTTTGACCACATAAATGTCAAAGGTAATCTGGTTCTAATATGAAAAAATGAACTTTTAAAAATACAAAAAAAATAAAAAATAATAAATATAAAATAAAAAAAAATAAAAAATATATAAAAATAAAAATAATAAAATACAAAATTTAATCTGGTTTCAGACTGGGATATAGTTGTGGAACTGCTCTTCTCAATATAACAGATGCTTTCTTTAGAGAACTCCATACAAAAAATGTTGGTGTCTTAATTTTACTCGATTACAGTAAGGCTTTCAATATAATTAACCACGAGTTATTCTTTTTTATAGGATTGAGTTCTACTGCAATAACTTTCTTTAATAATTATCTGACTGACAGGACACAAAAAGTAAATTATAACAGAGTATCGTCTGAAATTGGTAAAATATCACGAGGAGTGGCTCAAGGTTCCATTTTGTGTCCCCTCTTCTATACAATATATACTAATAATTTTTCAGCAATATTACAGCGTTGCAAAGTGCACATATATGCTGACGATACCCAGCTGTATAGATTCTTTCATAAAAATAATGAAATATAATCGCTACAGGAAATAAATAATGATTTAAATAATAGAATTTTCGACCAAGCACAACAGTAATCAACACGAACAAGTCATCTGTCATATATTTTGGTTGCAGTCCATCTAATAACATTTCTGTGAATATAAATAATGTATCTTTACCCATAACAAAAAAAGCAAGAAATCTTGGCATAATATTTGATAAACTAAAATTATCTGATCATACTTCATATATTTTATAAAGAACTTATTATAAGCTAAAAACATTGTATCACAGTAGACACTTGTTTAACAAAGAATTAAAAATTCAACTGTGTTCTGAGTAATGCTAATTACTGCGATTACTTGTACGGGCCCTGTCTCTCTGTATATGATTCCAATAGAATACAAAAAATTCAAAATTCTTGCTCAAGGCTTATTTATGTAATAAAAAAATTTGAAGGGTTTCTCATACTCTAAAATTAGCTAAATGGTTGAATATGCGAAATCGCAGAAAACTTCATGCACTAACCCTGTTTCACAAAACAATAATGAAAAAATGTCCACCATACCTTTATGACAAAATTATCTTCCGCACAGATATTCATAACAAGCATACTCGAAAGAAAAATGAAATTGATGTACCAAAACACAATACACAGCAGTTTAAGAACAGTTACTCATATCAGATATCGAAAGAATATAACAATGTTACAGATTCCCTAAAAAACCTTTCTATTACCTCTTTCATGAATATTTTCAATGAGCAATGCAGAAATTTAGGAATTCAGTAATTTAATTTAGTAACTTAGGAATTCATGAATTTAGAAATTCAGGAATTTAGGAATTTAAGAATTTAATTTAGTAACTTAGGAACTCATGAATTTAGAAATTCAGATATTGAGGAATTTAAGAATTTAGAATTAAAATATTTTAAAAACATTTAAAATTTAAGAATTTTAAAAATTCAGGAATATAGAAATTAAGAAATCTAAGAATTTTAAACTATGAAAATTTATAAAACCTTTATATGAATAATTTAATTTTTTTTTTCAATCATTATCTTTGTTATCTACGTTCCTAGGTTCTACGTTCTTAAGTAGGCAAATGAATTATTTTTTATTTTTTTTTTTTTTCGATACTCAGGCGTTTGAGGAAGAACAGCTTATGCTGATCAAAGGCCCTATTTGACCTTCTTTCTTGTAAACATGAATGGATATTTATACGGATATGTATGTAATATGGAATTTGTATTATTTGTTTGCAAATTTTTCAAATAAACTATAATAGTTATTACCTGAGTCCACAAGATGATAGCGAATCGTTTAGGCACGCAACGATTCCACACGCTTCTATGCCAGCATTTCTAAGACCAGAAAACGATCTGATTCCATTAAACGTGACCAGATGGTATTTATATCGGTTTGTACCCATCGTCGATGTATTCCTATTAATAATTATGTCAAAATTACAACACAGTTTTACTGAATCACCATTACAAACTTCTTCCAAAATTCTGGTTTTATTTTCGTTCATTAACACGGAAGTGTGATCTAAAAAGTTGTAATTTTTTTTAAATTTTAAGCTATTTACAATGTTTATGTTTTTAATTATTATGTACCGTCAAACGGGGTGAAGTCGATCAAAATAATACATTTTTTTGAGATTACGGAAAACTAATAACTGGATTTTAATTAAATTAAAAATATAACTTCCTTGGTGCTTAAGTCGTCGACTGGTGACTGGAGCAAGGTAGTAGATGGAGCAGCGCTTTTTTTATTTTGAAATAAAGGGTGATCGACTTCACCCCAAGGTCCGGGGTGAAGTCGATCACCCCTTTTAAAGTGCATATTTCCTACTTCAGGATCATCCAGGATGAAGTCGATCATTGAATAATAAAAAAATATAAATATTTGCAGAAGAATTTTGCAATAAAACGCATATTAAAAAAATATAAACGTTTATTCTTTGGACGAGCTTTACACGGCCATTGATTTCTTAATAACATAAACCTTAAATAAATGCATTATACTTAACAAAACTAAAAAACAGAATTATAAAAATTTATGAAACAAACGAACGCATTAAAATCCCTTACTAGAGCGTTTTCAGTTCTTCTTCTCTAAGGCAAAATAAATATTTACCTCGCTTTACTATATATACTAGTCTATTTTTATGTATGAGAGAGTATTAAAATAATGAAGCGTTCGTAATCCATAGGCGTACCACTTCTTTTAGTAGACAGTTAAAATATTTTTTGAAGTTATTCCTCGAGTATACACTTATATTTTCACCTAATTAACCTGCTTATAACTTCTAAACAGCTAAAGGTAAAAAAGTGCAATTTTTTCTAAAATGTTTTATTTTTCCACAAGGTATGTTAAGAACATTGTGTCAAACGGGTTATGTAGGCATAAGGGTTTAAACTTTGACTTTTAAACAACGTTACGTTCATAAATAATAATTTTAATATAAAAACCACTACAAATCCAAATCAGAATCGAAATCAGAAGATGAACTGTCGCAACCAATATTTACAATGAGTGGCTCGATCATTTCATCAGTTATATTGTCCAACTTCCACATTTTCTCTTCTTCTTTAATCGTATGATTTACTGCCTTTTCCCAGTTTTCAGGCTTCACATTATTTAGAGCCTCCAAAAACAACTGTTTAACATCACTCATTTTAAAAGAATTATTTTTTCTTGAAACTTCTCCCTTTATCTGTGCCCAGTGCCCATATCAGTTCAATCGAGTTTACTTCGCAATGATATGGTGGTGATCTAACCACCGCAATCCCACGATTTTTTGCAATTTCATCAGTTTCATATTTTTTGAATTTCTCTTTATGAAGGGAACACAAATGATACAGTTCTTTTCTTACAGAACCTGGATGGAACTTAATATTCTTTGAATTTAGCCAATTCTGTAAATCTTTTTTAACCACTTGGTTGTGGGCATTTTTTCTATAAGTCTCGAGTGATAACTTGCATTATCCATTACTATTATACAGTTCTGAGGAAGAAGATCTATAATTTGTTCGAACCACTCTTTAAAGACATCAGCATTCATGTCCTCATGGTAGTCACCGGTACAAGTAGATTCAAAAGTCAATAAACAACCTTTAACAAAACCGTTTGAACTACCGATGTGTACTATTATTAGTCTGCGCCCCTTTCCTGATGGTGGATTTAAACCAGTAGATAAATTATTTAAAAAAGCCTGTCTTCAACTTGTAACAGTTTCATCTTGCCAAAATTTATTTGGTTTATGTCCCTCGTTGATCCATGTTTCATCTAAATAAAATATATTTCTTTTTTGGTTTCTCATTTCTTTTATAGTCCTTAGGTAATTTCTTCTCCATACTACAATATCGCTTCTTTCTATTAAAATAGACTTTCTGGAATGCTTTTTCCATAGAAAACCTATTTCTTTTAAAAGTTTCCATAGTGTGCTTCGACTCATTTCAGGGTAATCCTTATCATCTCGAACCGTGGCAAGAACTTTGTCTACTGTCGGAAATTCTTTTCTAAAGAAGAACGCATACACTTTCCTTCGAAGTATTTCTTTCAAAAGATTTTCTAATTGAAATTTTGGTTTTCCTGGAGCTTTACGTGCTGTTTGAAACTCGCCACATTTTTCTTCTTTAACAACTCTGTAAATCGTAGATTTCCTAACACCAAGCGTACTACTAACTAATTCCACTGTGTCACCAACACTTTTACATAAATGTTTCTCTGTAAATGATTTAAAACAATTAAATATTAATGTTTTTTTATTAACTGTTAAAGGACCGATTTTTTGTCGTTTACGTGGCCCTTCCAAATTTTCCATGATCACACTAGAATTCACACTGCACCTTGCAAGTTGCAACTAAACGACATTTAGTAAACTGTCAAGAATACACAACTTGGACCTCCTTACTAAATGGAAAACCTATAATCGCATTTTCGGTGAAATTTGTTGGGAAGGTATTTATCTACTTATAATTCGATTACTGCAAGAAATTTTTGGAATTAAAATAAAACAAAATTGACAAATAGGTACTTATTGAAAATAATCTTAAGATACGGCTATGTAATCTTTAATACACAGGGCTTTTGGCCTGTCCAAACCTTTTTCTATTGTTCTGTACAGCTTATGTTTATAAAGGACCAATAAAAGACCCAAAACTTGTAATAGCTCAGGTACATTTATTACAATTTTAGGAAATATTTAGATTATTCTGTAAAAATATTTAAAATGACCGTACTAAGTTTTGCATTAGAAATGCTGTTTTATTACTCTCTCATACATAAAAATAGAATATAATTTTAAATTGAGTTGTCGGACAATCTATTCCCTGCTTATGACAGACTCATCCGAAACATTTGGAAAAGTGAAAAACACAGATTTGTTCGATGGATGTTTACGCAGTTTGCTTACAACTATTTCAGTCCCTGAGATTTCAATAATTTTAGCGATATAAAATCGATCTCTTTTGTTTGTCTCATATTTTGTGATGATAAAGTCTCCTATATCCCAGTTGCCGCATGGATCAAAAGTGTTGGCTGGCGCAGCAAAACTTTCTCCAATTTCATAATTGTCTATGTTGATATTCTGTTCCTCCACCTCCAGTGTCTCTAAGTCATCTGCTCCCTCGTCGTCTTCGCTGTCGCTTATTTGTTTCTTACGCGTTCAGGATAGCTTGCAACTCCTTTGGTTCTCTTCTTCCAAATCTTCTGTGCCTATGTTTTTGCCAGCGGCTATATTCAGTATTTTTCACCGCTTTGAAACATTATTTGGCCCAGTCTTGAGCTGGTGTAGATAATCTACAAGCACTGCAGTCATTGAAGTTTCTGCCTTGTTTCCTGCTTCTGGTGTATGTAGTAGGCTCCTTTCTTCTTACCTTTGCATCGGGATTGAAATGAACTAGGCCGCATGCTTTAAATCCAGCTAAAATATTATTCATTTCGCGATTCCCATGCCCCTCTACCGTAGGTTTCAACATCCTGGGAAATACAGTTTTTGGTAACCCCCCCCCCCTATCTTATTTTTCAGTTTCCATTCATCCAGTACTCTTTTCCATGATGCTTTAAGTGGACGAAAATAAGCCCGTCCAGTGGCTGGAGCATGTGGGTTGAATTGGGGGGAGTAAGACAAACTTAATATTGTGTTTGCACTCTTGAATAACACTGAGAGTAATGTGACCTTGCAAGTTATCTCCAATAAGCAGCTTGGTCCCTTCTAATTTTCGAAAATATGGGAGTACTACGGTCCTGAACCAATCATTAAACAATTCAGAATCAAACCCTCCCTTTTGAGACCTGTTGTACATTGTTCCTGGTATTCCGCCCTCCTTCCATCCTTCATAAATGTGTTTACCTTTGTACACTGTGTACGGGGGAGACGAGTTTAATCAGCAGCTATTGCGAACATTACTTTTGTGCTGCTTTTTGTGGTGTCAAGTGTCCTGTAGGCGTGTTTGCTTCCTTTCTTCATTACCACTTCTACAGCCACGGGATTGTCAACGAAGTTTGTCTCGTTGTAGTTCACAACGTTTTGTGGTGGGATGTCCCTTATGATTTCCGCCACATTTCCGAAATATTCCTCAATAATCTCGTATGTTACAGCGGCTCTCACTCGCTTTGTATTCTCTGCAAATTTGAGCCGGAAGTGTCTCTTCATCAGGCCGTTAAACCAGCCTTCTCCTGGCATATTCTTGGTAAATCACTTTTCAGTGATGCCGCGTTCATTAAAATATTGCTGCGTGATTCGCCTAATATCAATAGGCTTTAATGGGAAACCCCACTCAGCACAGGTTTGCAAAGCATTCACTAACAATGTTTCAGAATGTTCATCAAAAGCAGGTTGACCACCATATATCAAGGGATGTGCCGCATGAAAGTGATCGTTTAGTGTTGTATATGGCACTGCAAACCTTTCTGACGCTCTTCGCATGCTTAGTCTTCCCTTGCGTCCTGCAACCAGCGCTCTCTCTAAATACGCGGGGTCGTAGTTTCTTTTGCCATAAGCACCCAGCTTCTTCACGTATTTTCGTGGCATCTATAAAAATAAAGAAAAAAATAATAACATTCGATTCGTTCCCCCCTGTCCGACACCCCTCCTGTGCTAACACGCGAAATTCATATGAGAAAATCACTCAAAAACAAATTGCTTTAAACCTAACCTCACAGCCTCACAAAATAAAGCGAAAACCAAGTGATCCACTTCACCTCGTTTTATTTCGGCACAAAAAATTGCAGCTGAAACCGCCCAAAAAAATTTTTTTCATATCTGATTGTAAACACCCTTTCATGAACATATTCCTTATCACCTAGAGGGGCTCGGACCTAGTTTTTAAAGAATCGGCTGTGCAAATCTTTGATTTCACATATTTTACAGGCTGAGAAATGTTGCTTTTTTACTACTTAATTATTTTTGGAAAAAATCACCTTTCACGATTAACCAGCACCACCGGTATAATGGATGTTCACATGTTGGCCACACAAACGTAAATACAAACCAGCTGATTTGTAGTGCATTGTTGCCATAATTCTTAAAAACAAGTAAAAACACCGGATTGATCGACTGCACCCCTGCCTAACGATTTCACCCCGTTTGACGATACATACTATTGCACCACCTTGTATATGGTGTAACTTATATCATTAAAAAGCATTTACTAGCTTTCCAATGACGTATAGCAAGTAGGATTTTGTTATATTATTATTTAATTCTCTTTAGTTTATGAGATATAGCCACTGTACTATTTTAAATTGTCACTCTGTATAATAAAAGCAAGAATGCCCAAATTAATGCCAAGAACAATAGGAAGCAACAGAGAATAGAAAGTATATCTAAAGTAGGTTAGATATAGGGGCAAATAAATGAATGATAGCCAGAAACAATGCTTTGTGAGATACAGAATGGCATACCGTAGAAATACTCCACCCCAAACCTCAAAACGTCCCTAGCACAACCTAAAACTAAAAGATCAAAACCCAACGATGTATACAGTCTAGGTATAAATATACCGATCGTATCTATTTAAATATCAACAAATGATTATGCATCACAATTTATTAGTAAGTAGGTAGATTGTATGTATTCATATATATGTATGTATTCAAAAATGAATATGATGGCCATATCGCACGAAGACGAAATTTGAGCACGACCCACTAACGAAAATCTATAATTTATGAATTTTAATAATTTATAAAATAAAATAAACATGAAAATTAATTTAATTAGTCCCCAGCCAGGATTCGATCCCGGGCTTTCGCGTGGAACAATTTTCGATTTTTTGATTTATCGATTTTTCGATCTAGAAAATATCGTTATGAAAAGTATCACCTCTATCTTTATATAGTTATCTACCGGAATGTGCCAGAACTACAAAAGCGTGAATTATCATAATTCACTCCGTGATATATGGGTACTATATGCTTTTAGTTAGGAGGTAGAATATTGATTTATTATTAAGTGGTCGTGGACAAAAAATATAATGACAATTATTAGTTGGACAGAATTGTCACTCAATAATAGTAGCCCGGTGATCAAAATATGTAATTGGTGGATTTCATATTTGTGCAATGTTCTTACTAGGTAGAATGGATATGAAATAAATTCATTCAGTTGAACGCAATGGCATACTTTTTCGGTTTGTAATCTGTGTGGGTGTTAAAAAATAAATATTACCGTCCATTGATAAATCTCTTAATAGGAAGAATCCATCGAGCTCCTTAGCTAGTTCATCAGTATCTTCATCTGTGAGTTGACTTTGATTATATACATTTTGAGTACTTTCATTATTTGTTACAGTCTGTACTATTACTTTGGTACCTCCATCGCCTCCAATAAAAACTCTTTCCAAAGGACCATTTTCGCCTAAAAATGTAAAATGGTAAATTGAATCATCTATATAGAAATGATGAGTATATTTAATGAGATAAAAAAAAGTAGGTTGTTTTAAAATAGTATCTTACCAAGATATATACCCGAACCACTTGCACCTGTTCTTGGATAATTTCCTCCAGATGCTAGTAAAACCACGTTATTTTCATGCGACCACATTTGTTGAACTTGTAATGCTACAAAATAAATCCTTACATAAACATACGAGGTTGTATGGAAATTATAAAATAAATACAACGAATGTTATTAAAAATTAATTATTCAACAACATATATGAATGAATCTTCTCATTAAATTATTTATAATGACAATTTCAAGAGTTGAATTCATTAGATTACATCACAGAACGTAAAAAATAGGTAGTGCCTCAATGCATACATATTATTGGGGGTTATGATTGACAACCTGTGTTATTTTTAACAGGTCTGTTATTTTTTAAACACACAAAAATAACAACTTGTTCAAAAATAACTTGTCTGTTAAAAAAAAACATTACTTGTCCATCATAACCCCAATTAACAGTGTATTATTATCAGTGCAGTAGTAACGAACTATTATTTAGAACGCAGTCACACTGGAAGTAGCAAATCATGAACAAGAGAAATTTGACGCTAACCTTGCAGGTCATACCATATAACCATATAACCTATATATATTATCTATTATCATTAGTCCAATCCTCGACAAGGCGTGACTTAACAAATCACGTTATTGACTTTATCTAAAGAAGCTTTTAAAAACACTTTTTAATTTTATTGTTTTTTATAACAATCATAGGTCACTTCGGCAGGAGTCAATAGAATGTTGAAGTACGCAAACACATATTTTTTAAGATAAAGATTTAGTAAACGTTAAAAAAGCTTGTGTCGAGCACATTATTTCAACGACCTGTTAAAATTGCTGCTTTTGGGCTTTGACAGGGTCAATGATTTATAAATTTCTCAAAGCGAGTCGAATTGCGAACGGCCATATTGCCTCGCAAGTTATTCTTGTGCTATAACCTAGTTGATCCCTAATTGACGATTTCATCATTTTTTTCATTTCCTTTATGCCCTGGTACTCACGCGAGTTTTGCCTTATTGTGGGTTGCCAGATCATTTAGTATTCCAAGGCAGTTCCAGACCAGGTTTGAGTAGATTATGTTTGAATCAATGGCTTTTAAGGCTGTTTGGGTACTTGAGATGGTTCTTAAGTTCTTTCGTACACACAATTCGTTTGCATGTATTTCAGCCTGAAATACAGTGGTATATTTTCCCAGAGACGAAGATGTCGCATTTGGGTTTAACTCCATGTACAACAGAGCCTGTTCCCCTGTTAGTTTTAGATCCATCCATATACTTACCATACAAGACCACTGAGCAAGTATTTCTCTACCTTTTTATTTATCTTTTACCTCGTTCCAGTTCCAGTTGCAGTTGACCTGGAAGAATCTGTTGAAGGTTAGGCGGGGTGTCATATGATCTCCAGTTGGATTCTCCTCCTTCAATACAGCATATACCGAGTCGACTATCTTCGTTCGACAGACTGCGATTCTTATGTAATGTCTCTCTCTATTCAACACGTAACGTGTCGAGTTCGCACATAAGAATCCCTGTGCTGATCATATTTAATATAGGAGCATTTACTTCATGTGTTATTCTGGTATGTTTTGTACATCCCAATAGGTTCCAGTTGTTGAAGATGTTTAGCCTATATGCACTCAGTCTAGTCTCCCCCTTTATAACTAGGTCAAGGGGTGGGAGGTTTAGAATGATTTTCATATAGGCTGTTGGTGTACTTCTTAGTGTTCCTCTGTCCCCGGTTTAATTTTGGCCACCAAACAACCACTCTATAAGTTATCATGTGTTTTGTTATTGCCAAATATAGCCAGTGGACCAGTTGAAGACCTCCAACCTTATTTTCCGAGTAAAGGTTATGGCCTTGTCAGGGTTTACCAAGAGATTTTCCCTAACGCATCAAATTTTTGTCTGCTCTGCTTTAGATCTATTTGCATGAGTTCAAAGACAGTCGTTTGGTGTTTTCCTTGGATAAGGATGACTATGTCATCGGCGTATCCTTGGCCGTTTAGCCCTTGACTGTTCAGTGTTCTCAGCAGTTCACCTGCCACTAGGTTCCACAGTAGATGAGAACGGACTTTACCTTGTGGACATCCTCTGTGGATATTCACCTGCATGGTTTTACTGAACATTTGTGCTGCACCTGCCGTCCGCGTAAAATATCTTCTATCCACCAGCTGTTGGTGTCTTCTATTTCATGTTGGCAAACGGCAACTACCATTAATTTAAAGGAGGTATTACCAAAAGCTCCTTCTATCTCAAGAAATGCTCTTAGGACTATTTCTTGGCTACTGAGTCCCCTTCTATCTTGGTTACAAGGTGATGCAGAGCAGTCTTACAAGATTTTCCTGAATGATAGACATGTTGGTTTGTTTGAAATGGCCTCTCTATCAGGATGGTTTGCCGGATGTGCTGATCAATCAGTTTTTCCAATCTTTTCAATAGAAATGACATCAAAGTTATTGGTCTGAAGCTTTTGCCAAATCACTTTGCTTTGTTTCCAGGTATTTGGTACATTTATATACCAAACTTGCCTGTAGAGCCTACAAATATGCGGGACCAGTGATTCTATTGGCTATCGCAAGAGCACATCTGGTTCTGGTGATTTGTATTGGTTGAAGGTGCGTATTGTCCATGTTATTTTCTCTATTGTGACTAAGTGTTTTGCAGTTTCCCACTATTGGCTGGAGACTCTTTTTTGAGAGGGTTTGATCAGCTGCATTCGGGTCAAGTAGGTACACGGTATGATTATCGATTATTAATCAACTAAAAGTATATGAAATTATTTCATTGTGAGTGATATAATCTAATCAAATTCATGGTGGATGATAAAGTACCAGCATAGCAATTTTATACATTGTGATATAATCGTTTCAAAGTAAATTTTACTTACATGTTAAATATGGAAGTTCAGATATCCAATTGTTCGGAAATATAATATTCTTTATGTTAAGATCCTTTGTTAGATTTATAGCAGGGATGTTAAAATTTATATCGAAACAAGTAATAACCCCAAACGATATGTTGTTTTTAGTCTGTATTACTGTTACATCGGGTTTTTCGGGAACGGACATTTGAAACTCTCCAAATAAATTCCATTTTCTGTATCTATAAAGAAGAAAACAATTTAATCATTATTTATTTTACATGCTGTTGGTACATGCTTGAAACATTTTTCCAATTGAAATTTTTAGGGAAAGCTATTGACTTTACTATATTTTTGTTGCTGACAAACAGAAAATTAAAAACAAAATCGGGGAATGCTTACCTTCCAGAAACAACACCCTGTTCATTAAATACCACCACGGTATTGTAGTATTTAACATCAGTACAATTTCTATCGACTTTACAATTATTTTCCTTTTCAAGAATAGTTATCGCAATTGTTGTATTATATTCGATGGCAGCACATGAAAACAATTTGAGATATTCTTTATACAATTGATCAGTCGAATTGCAAATAATGTTGTCGAATTTTTTCGGAATTACTGTGCTTAGCAGCGATACATCTCCGTAAGGAATTACACTCTTTTCCGGGTAAACTATAATTTCTAAATCCTAAAATAGATTTGATGTTATTTACTGATCTATATAGAAATCATAGAAATGTCTTAATATTTCCGATATTTAAAACAAATTGGCAACCACGCTTAAGATTTTTAAATAATGTTTAAAGGTTGTAAAAAAAGCATGGTAAAAAAGTAGTATGTATACAGGGTGGTTCAGTTTATATCGTCAAGATTTCACCAGCTGTTTATTGAAACATAAAAGTACTTTGTTCAATAAACTATGATCTAATTTTACTTTCTTTTTGATATATTCAGTAGCAGACGTGCAAAAAATTTCCTGATAAACAAAGAAATACAAACAAAATTTAAGAAACAAGAATTTGTATTTTTAATTAGTTTTGTATAAAATTTATTAAAAATTCAAAAATAATATACTGGGCGATATTTTTTGTGTCGAAAACCAATCGAAATGTCCTATGAGCACGCCTCTGGAATTACTGGACCAACTGTAACATGTCCGAAAGACACTTAATAAAATTGCTGTGAAAAGCTAGTAAATATTTTTTAATGTAACTAATATAGTGGCTTACTTTTAAATGAATATTTTTCTGAAACTAATAGAAATGAAAATTTATATGCTTCTAATTAGGCATTCCAACGACCTGTCCAAATGGCTACCAGTGGGAACTGACAGTTTAGATATGGCAACCCTGTTGTCATGTTGTCATTAACAGGGTCAATGACACATATATAGTTATATAGATTACTCAAAGCTGGTCGATTGCGAGCGGCCATACTGCCTGGCAAATATTTATTAATTTGAATCGGTTTAGCGAAAATGTGTTGTAAAATCAATTTTCAGCCTTTGGATATTTAAAAAAAAAATAATTGCCTATATTTTTACTTCAAGGCATAAGCTTATGTTTATTTTGAAAAATATGGATGATCAATCTATGTAACCACATACTTTGATTACTATACGGGGCAAGAGAGAGGTCCGACACGCCCAACATAGGGCGCGGCCATTTTGAACCCTATGACACAGTTTATAGCTAAAGAATCAGATCGCTCACTCTGCGTCGGCACTTGTTATCTCAATGTTCCAGTTTATACACTGCGCAACTCAGATAATACAATATATGACAACCGCCTATAATAAAACAGCAGTCTTCTGCGTATCCTGAATTTGTATCCCTGGAGTGGATGTTATTTTGGAACTATCAACTGGTCCGAGTGAGCTAACTGATTCTTTAGCAATAAACTGTGACTCCAAAAATAATATTCACTGACACTGACAGCAGCAAGCAAAATATCAGGTGCGTTTTAATCATCCGCTTCTGCTTCCGGAATTGTCGGTTCAGTCGTTCTAACCTGTCAGATTAAAACAAGAAAACCGACAATTCCGAAGCAGAAGCGGATGATTAAAACGCACCTATTAAAATATTGCGCCAAGATGTAGGCAACACGTAATAAGGGTTCAAAATGGCGGAGTTTTCTATCTCCTTTTAAAAGGCACTTAGAAAGCTGCGCAGTGCGACCATTCTCCGTATAGTAAAAGAAAATCAAAGTATGTGTATGTAACTATTTCATTGACCTTATCAAATAACCAGGCCTACAGGATTGCCATAATTTTGCCACATCATAACCTGTCAAAACCCACTGATAGTCATTCAGTTTGGAATGCCTAATTATGGCAACTCTGTAGGCCTGGTGATTTGACAAGGTGAGTGAAATAGATAGTTACCTAGATTGATCATCCCTATTTTTTAAAATAAACATAAGCTTATGCCTTGAAGTAAAAATATAAGCAATTATTATTTTTTAAATATCTAAAGTCTGAAAATTGGTTTTAAAACACATTTTTGCTAAACTGATTCAAATTAATAAATATTTGCCAGGCAATATGGCTGCTCGCAAACGACCAGCTTCAAGCAATGTATATAACATATATGTATCATTGACCCTGTTAATGACAACATGACAACACGGTTGCCATATCTAAACTGTCAGTACCAATGAACTGGAGTGGGGTAGAATGCTTGTCAATAGACTTGATGTGCGACTCTATGGGCGAAGATAGGTTATTTTTTATCTCACTCGGGAGTATTTAAAATAGCCAGTTTCTATTTCACATTGTTATTGTCTGATCCACCAGCTTGTGGATTGAACAATAACAATGTGAAACAGAAAATAGTTATTATAAATAGTCCCGAGTGAGATGAACAATAAAAATGGCTGCGCCCATCGAGTCGCACCTTGTTCTAATAGTACAACATGGTACAACATGTACATTGGCATTCTACCCCCCTCCGGTTCATTGGTCAGTACCCACTGGTAGCCATTTGGACAGGTCGTTGGAATGCCTAATTGTATCTGTATTCAACGTTTTAATTTTACTCTATTGGACAGAACACGAAAATGTGATATTGACAATTTAAAAGTAATTCTGACAGTCTAATGTGCCATGGAATATAAATAAAAGTTTGATTTTAGATGAGAAATATAAAAACTTACTTGCTTAATATTTTTTAATAAATTAATATGAGTCTTTGCTCTTGCTACTAATTGTTCATCTTCTGTTCCAGGATAATCTACAGGGTGATATTCCACTACTGCTGCAGTATAGGATTTGTCGATTTGTACCTTAAATTTAAAAGCCTGGTAAATTAAACGATACCTTTTGTGCAATTTATTTTGAAATAATGCGAGGTTTTATCATTAGAATGCGTTCTCAGTAAAAATAGTACTTATAGTGACGACAAAATCATGGAGGAAGGATAATTAAGAGTTGCAGATTGGGCAAAATGATCTACTCACACCTAAATTGGTTAGGTATTGATATCGGGAAGGAATGTTTCGGATGGACAGACAACGACGAACAACTGCTAGACCAATTTTGTTTACAAAAACCGAATTGCAAGTATTCACGGTGTTATCCACGTAGTTTCCAAATTATTATGAGTCTGGCTATTTGGATCGTGTATGGTTATAATTTGCAGTTTACTTAAAGTTCTAAAACGCACAAATGGCTTTCAAAATTACATTAAGGAAGTATATTAATTGCATTTTTAATTATTATCTGTTCAATGTATTTTTCTGGTTGCAGCTATTATTGTAGCTTAATGTGATTTACAGCAGGAAAGTAGGTATACCATTTATTTTGCAATATAGCAACGGTGTAAAGCAGGAATCGTAGTTATACGAGCTGGTTCATTCAAAAACTCATGCTCGCACAAATCATCCCCACTCTATTTAGTAGGCGCCTCGCTCTTTCTAAAGCGCAGCATACGATAGCTCTGTCTGGCTAGCATAAAACACGAGCTACTAAATACTTGCAAGGCAAGTAAATATGAGCTTAATTATGAATGAATGGATTAGTTTACTACTTTGACATAGAACTAAAGAGTGATTGACAAAAATTATTTCTAAATTACCAACAAAGACAGAGATGTGAGTTATGTTGAGGCATTCCAAACAAATGAATTACCAGTGGGCAGGTTTGGTATATCTAAGGGTGGCGACATATGGTGTATTCTATCTACTTTACGTAAAATCATGAATAATGGATTACATTTAAATATTTTATGTCAAACACAATAAAAATAATATTTAAAAAACCCACCTATACATTTCTTCATAAATTGGCAGGCTCGGCGAGTACTACTTCGAATAAAAATAGCGTCCAAGTTGCAAGACTATGTCGCTACCCCCTTAAATATACAAGAATTTCCCACTGGCACCTATTGTTTGACAGGTCATTGGAATGCCTAATTAAATTCAAACTGACACTTAAGAAGAAGAAGAATAGCACGCGTGACACATACGTGAATGTTTCCAAGGCCTACTAGTATTCTGTGGGCCTCTCAGATAAACATTGTTTATCTGAGGTGGGCCTACTTAAGAAACATTTTTATAAAAGATTTTGGATTACTGTTAAATAAAAAAGAACAAAATACAAAATAATCGTAAGAATACTTACCTGTTGACATATTGTACCTAAATGTATTACCATACAATACGATAAAATAAATTTTACTATCATTTTGATAATATTAATATATTATATATGTAACTATGTAGGTTATTAGCAGGTTATGTAGATATATAAACTCCGAATTATATGAATATGAATACGTTATCTAATAATTGTTAATTAATAAACGAGTCCAGGACAGGATACAAGCTTGTTAATTTTTTCTAATGCTTATACCTACTTAAAGAATAAAGAATTGTACACTAAACGCATTCTGCATACCTATTGTAAAATTAAAGAGATATGTATTTTAATCATGACTATAACAAAGTGAAAATAGACGACACACGTTACAAAGGAATATACAGTATGGAGCAAATGAAATGAATAATATGTCAAAAGCCAAAAATAAATGTATTATCATTTTCAATTTAATTTATAAGATTTTAACTAATACTACTTACCGTGAATTGATATGGGGATTCTCTTCAAATGCTAGTAGAATATCTTTTTTTTTTTTTGTTTTTTACTACCTTTAAGTAGGTCTCTGAATTTCTTCTTCATTTTGTTTACGGTGGATTGCGAAATTGGTTTTTGGTTGGGATATTTATTGTTGAACAAAGCAAAAACGTATGCGTCCTTGTTTTGTCTCCACAACCAATCATTATCAGAATTTCAATTCTTTGCGTTTCAGTAAACTTCATTTTGAGAAAAATCTCTTTGAATACAATCTATTTGACTATTTATTACCATTCTCACTAGATCCATGATACAAAAAATTACAGAGGTATGATACTTAGCCAACGAAATGCCTAATTAGGCATTCTAACAACCTGTCAAAGAATTAGGCATTCCAACGACCTGTCCAAATGGCTACCAGTGGGTAATGACAGTTTAGATATGGCAACCCTGTTGTCATGTTGTCATTAACAGGGTCAATGATACATATATAGTTATATAGATTGCTCAAAGCTGGTCGTTTACGAGCGGCCATATTGCCTGGCAAATATTTATTAATTTGAATCGGTTTATCAAAAATGTGTTTTAAAACCAATTTTTAGCCTTTAGATATTTTAAAAAAAATAATTGCTTACATTTTTACTTCAAGGCATACGCTTATGTTTATTTTGAAAAATATGGATAATCAATCTATGTAACTATCTATTTCATTGAACTTGTCAAATCACCAGGCCTACAGGGTTGCCATAATTTTGCCATATCATAACCCGTCAATGCCTAATAGGTGCCAGTGGGAAATTCTTGTATATCTAAGGGGGTAGCGACATAGTCTTGCATCTTGGACGCTATTTTTATTCGAAATAGTAATTGCCAAGCCTGCCAATTTATGAAGAAATGTATAAGCGGGTTTTTTAAATATTATTTTTGTTTTTGACATAAAATATTTAAATGTAATCCATTATTCATGATTTTACGTATAGTAGATAAAATACACCGTATGTCGCAACCCTTAGATATGTCAAACCTTACCACTGGCAATTCATTTGTTTGGAATGCCTAATAGTTAAAGGCAATAGCATACTTTTTTGTTTTGTAATATGTGCGTAGATAAGCTAATATCCATGTGGTTGTAGAAAAATAGTATATTATTAAACGAGCAATTTATGGTAGCCATTATTCACGCAGGGTGACGTTTGCGTCCCGAGCCATAAGCGAGGGGCGCAAGTCACCCGAGTGAATAATGGCCATAAATTGTGAATCTAATACTATACTTTGTCCACGACCATTATGGTTTCTTTATTAAATAAAAGTTAAGTGTAGAATGGAAAGTTTTTATTAAACATAGGTAACTAACTGTTGTTTTTTCGACTTTTCGATTTTTCGTTTTTATTTTTCGATTTTCGATTTTTTTCGTTATTTTTTCGATTTTCGATTTTTTTTCGGTTTTTTTTAGATTTTTTAATTTTTCGATTTTTTTTCGATTTTTCGATTACCTATAAAGAATATTTTCATATCAGTTTAGACATACGTGCTGTCGTGACGTCATACCGTGACTAATGGATCATTATTCACTAGTGAATAATAGGTATTATTATTCTTAAGGAAGTACAAGTATAATGAATGTTTTATAGAACAGTCGTGGACAAATAAATTTTAATCAAACTATATGAAACTAATTTAATTACGGGTATTAAAACTAAAATCATAAAAGTGACCGTGGAGATGTGGACAGAGCATATCTGCCTTCCACGCGAATAGCTCGTCTTCGAATCTGAGCTCGGGGCAATTTTTTTATGTTTATTATATTTTATAATTTAGTAACATTAATTAATTATTTTGTCTTAATCACCTAAAATATTTTTTTAAATTTGTAGATTTTCATTAGTGGGTTGTAGAAAAAATATTTTCTACAACTCTTGTTGCACAAACTATTATTCACGCTCTGTTTTTGATCAGCTGATACCTCAAGTTCGTAGAAGCCACAATACGTCACCGCGTCGTAGTATCAATAGTAATAGTATCATGCATTAGATCAGTCAAGTAAGTTTAATTTGAACCTACCACATCTTGATTAGAACCACATTTAAAAAATAAAAGTAAATAAGAAACTAACATTTTCTTTTCAGTCGTTACTAAATTCACTTTTGGGTAGCTGTATTCCTTGACTTAGCTAAGGCATTTGACACGATATCGCATGATCAGCTGTTAGATACCTTGGAAAACATAGAAATTAGAGGCACACCGTACATGGTAATGACAAGTTAACTTCATCAACGCACTCAAAGAGTAAAAATAAACGAAAAATACAGTGATATATCCTGCATCCTCAGGGAACTATCTTAGGTCCCCTACTGTTTACACTATACGTAAATAGTTTGTTTAATTTAACATCATCTGGAGAAATTCGCTTTGCAGACGATATGGTCATTCTTTATAAGGCCCAAACCTGGGAAGCTCTAAAACAAAACATTGAAAAAGATAATTGAATGGTTTAGTCATAAATTATTAATAGTTCATTTTAAAAAACCTTCTTCATACCGTTCGCGTCATATACTAATAGTATGCCTCACTTCAAAAACTTAACAATCAAAATAAATAATAAAGACGTTGACATAGAAAGATCTAATGACATTAAATATCTTGGAGTCACTATTGATGGTAACATGAAGTGGGAAAAACATATTTAAAATGTCACTAATATATTAAGGTGTCTGTTATTTAAATTTAAATATTTAAGTTCAATTTTAAATTTTCATCACCTAAAAATAATTAATTACTCACTTGTTGAATCCAGGTTGCAATACGGCATATTGGCGTGGTGCTAAATATATCAAGTTTACCTAAAGCCTTTAGAAGTAATCCAAAAACGTATTTTAAAACTAATCTTAAAGAAATGTGTACTATTTCCAACCGACTTACTTTTCCAAGAGGCACGTGTATTAGATATTCGACAATTATTTGGCCATGCAATTATAATCTACATGTATAAAATTCGAAATAAAATATTAGAGGATATCGATCACACTTACAATACGCGCCAGAAACATCGCAATTTTTTAAAACCATAGGACAAAGAAACTTTACATTCTTAGCGCCAAGAATATTTAATTAGCTGCCCGATATTTATAAAACTTATATAAAAAAATTAACACTATAAAATTCATAAAGAATTTATTAGAGAATTAATAAATAATTAAACAACAATATATAAACTCTACCCCATTCACAAAAAAAAACATCATTTAAAAGTTTTTACTAGACACTGGCAATTATATAGGGAATTAATTAATAAATAAATAACAAATACACCATTCATTCAAAACAAAATTTGTATTTTTCATGTTAGTGTATTTTCTATTTTTGTTCTTTTGGCTTTCTGCCATTTTTCTTTTGTATTTTATGCATTTTTATTCCATTTGTGTATTTTTTTGTTATTTCTAAGTCCCGTGCGCAACCTTTTTAGGTTCTTATGGGTTACCCTCATGTTTGTTTTACTTAAGAAGTTATTTATGTTAATACAAATTTTATAAAAAATATGTATTAATAAATATAAACATTATTATTATTTTAGTTATAATACATTTTTATCGAGTTGCGAAATAATAAATGTATGTCTCACTACATGCGTAGACAAATCCAAACAAAGTAAATGTCACATTACATAAAAATTTATCACGCTTTCAAAAATACCGCCTGGAACAATCTGGCTAAAATTGATTTCGAATATCCTTAATACGTCTCTGTTTTGAAGAAGAAAAAATTTATTTTATAATTATTATTTGCGAATTGATAACGACTAATAAGATGTGGAGATAATGTGAACATTTAACAACCTTGTAAAAAAAAAGAAATAAAATTCATAAGTGTTTTAACGATGCATTAGATTTGATACGTAAAATTGAAGGATAATTTGATATTTTATACTATTCTGTAAAGAGGATAAACATTTAGTGAAATCACTGCCAAAATGTCAAGTTTGGCGCATGCAATGGTCGGTCGGGAAACATTTCTGTTCCTGGTCGAGGCCAAAATTGCAAAAATACTGACATTTCGGGGCATCCTAAATTTAATATATCTTGATAATAATGAAATTTAGTTTAACACAACTATTACCCAAACAGTTACGAAATTCCTTATTTTATGTACTGTAAGGGGTTTTCTCGCCACAGAGAAAACGGTTCCTTACGAATTACGCTGGTTACAGGCGGTTCTCGAGCGCCAGATTTTTGGTAATGGTTTACTCCACAAACTCTCGAAACGGCGTCGAAAGTACTCGGGTAGCTACAGATGGAGATGAAAAATTCCAGGGGTCAAAGGTCACTTAGACACAGGTAATAGTAGGCCACAAGTAACGGCCTTTAATCGTTGCTTGGGCTCGTACAGAATTTATCACTGGCTGAAATATAAGGGGGAAATAAAGTAGGGAATTATTAACCAGTAATACGGCAGGTTAACATTGACACATATATTGTAATTAACTATTTACAACAAAAAAAAAGAAATTAAATATTTCAACGCCCACCCCAGTTGTGGTGATAGTCAATATAACCCTGAATATATAAAAAAAAGAAACAAAACGGACGGTATTGATTCGCGACTAGTCTCAATCAGACGTCAAAATTAAATTAAAATAAAATATATGTTTAGGTCGCAGAAAAAAAATTACTAACTTGGCTATTTACTCGGTAAATAACTGTTTACCCGCGGTATCGGGAATTAAACTAAAATGTAGACATTTTGCTATTTAGGTGAAGAAATATTAGCTAAACGGTCGAAGAGAGTGCGAGGAGACAGGGACGCGAAATAATTACTTATAGTAAATACACGGAAAGAAAATAAAAATAAATTTATACCCGGGGTAGCCTATTATCCCAGAATGAGCTGATCGTCATCACGAGCCCGCTCAGACAGGGTAATGAAGCTATTTTTGATTTCTACAAGTT